ACACACACACACACACAGACCTTTGAGTGTGTGCCAATAGTTTCCAGAATAGATATCAGGTTGTGTCTGGATGGGTCTTCCCACTGTCTGTACAAAGGCACTGTGCTGTGTCGCTCCTCTTTTTCCCTCACCCACCAAATCACTCATCTAACCTGCTCTGTTTGTGTTTTTCACACTCTCTTCCTCTCTCTCAGAGGCAGATAAAGAGAATGACCTCAGGTCTATTTTATCACAGGTCATTATGTCAGTCATTGTCTTTGCTGATAATGATAAATGTGAAGCAGCTTAGATTGTTACTTTATCCTTGAACAAATCCTCTAATAGGTGTCTTTTGTGTGTCAACAAGCCCATACTTGATGCTTATGGTTGTGCTTGTGGGTTTGAAAGTCAGTCCTGAGTGTTACTGTAACTGAATGAATGTCTTGCATTGTGCAAGAGTGGGTAAGTGTCTCTGTATGGATGCACAGGTGCATATATGAGCCTCCATACTCAAGGCGTGTGTTTGTGACCTACAGCATGTTAACCTCATATCTGCTTGTTGCTCACTTAGCTGGCACCAACCTGACACTTGTCCAGGTGCCAGGCAAACACAGGTTTCCTCTAGAGTGAGTGTCAAGATTGTGTGTGTGTGTGTCCATGTGAAATCCTCCTCTGCACTGTTCCCAGCAGGCTCCCTATCTACAGCTGGCCTCTGTTTTTGTCTACCTCAATCATTGAGTGTAGACCTGCAGAGAGCTTCCAGGCACTGGCAGGTACTGCAGCCAGTCTCCCTGCGTGCCTGTCAACATTAAAAAGTTACTCACCATTGTACAGTGTGTAGGCAGCAGGCTGACTTCATGGCAGGCTCACAATGTTAAGATTTGTTCAACAACAATCTATTAAGATTATTGAAGTCTGCAAGTGAAGGACAAGGGCCTTTGTCATTCATTATGTGCTGTCTCTTTTTGACTTAAGAAATAAACACACTGCAGCAGGGATATAACTGACAGGGAAACAAGATTTTCTATGCTGCTGTTTCACAAAGATTGTGGCTTCAATTACTCAAGCCTTCTGAACTCTGAAGTTGCAGTTCTAATATAAATTTAAAGGCATACTATGCAGGAATGCAAGAAAAAGTATGGACTTGTACAGAAATAGTGGTGCTTTAGAACATAGCCGCTGTGTAACAATCAGAAAATATCGTTTTATTTGATTCATTTGATTTTGCTTTGTTCTCGCTAACGTTGCTCCCTCTCCTCAATCATGCTCTATATAGCTTGACCAAAGGTGCTCTCTCTGGCTCATTGAGTCACGGAGGGGGGGACCAACTTTGAATGGCGCATTTACAAACAGCAACGGATAAATCCTGTATAGTATACCTTTGAACTAAAGACTTTCATTTGTTAAATGTTACTGAAAACTTGATAAAGTTAATGAGAGGCATTCAAACAATCATTTAGAAGCCATTATAATTGATTATAACACACAGTACGAGTAAACAAAAATATACTTGGTGCTAAAATAATGTATTTGCGTGTTTTCTATGTTTCGTAAGCACACAATACGCTTTGTAAGTATTAGTCTATACTAACTAGCTAACTTCTACAAGCAGTAACTAACTAAGCTAGTTGGCTAACTTAATGATTGCCAGCTACACAGCCAAGGTATTGTAATCATTAATGTAGTTAATTTTAAATAATAATAATATTTTTTTTAACTCAGAAAACTAAAATGTCAAGTAAGGCACGAATGCTGCCTTTAAATGGAACTTGTGACTTGTGGTTAAGACATGGGAAGTCGTGTGCACGATATGCTTGTCGTTCAAGAGGTTGTGAGAACAGTGCTGCTAGGCTACAGCAACATGGACACCAAAAGACTTAGGGCGTCTAGAAGCCACCAGGGCTGCTGTATGTATTAATGTAATGCAGGAATTGCATAAGAACAATGATGAGCCCATTTGGAATATTAGAATATTCCTAACACATACAATTATGAAGAAAAACTATATATTAATTTAGGATCCACTGAAAAATGAACTTCCATGACCTTTGCCGTTTCTAAAAATGTTAGCAAACGCATCAGAACTCATGAACTCTTTGCTTTCAGACAATATCCACGTACATGGCTGTGAATACCACAAGAGGGCGTTCATATAGACCCTCATTATGTACACGGTAAACATGACCCCATTTGAAGGCAGCATAAACCCCCAGATGCTCAAATGAAGCTGTGTGCGTTTAAAATACTAAACATTGATCTTTCTATCTTTTGGGGAGTGTGAATATAAATCCTGTTTTGCCAAAGCTTTTGAAACAGTGTAGGAGTGTTTTGTAGAGCTGTTACGTGTTGCCATGTAGACTGTATACATATGGAGGGAGGATTAAAAACACCTGTTGTGGACAGACCATAGATTGACAGCAGGCCCCTGGGTCTCCACTCTCCTCATACCAATTTCCTCATACATCCAACAGACCACAGGTCTCAGAGGCATGTAGGAGGAGAGATTCACGTCAAGATGTCCAGTGGAATGTGTGACGGCTGCTGCTGGTTGTCATGAAAGTTTACAAGGTTTATTTTAACTCCCACACATAGCACGGCTATTCAGTCACACCAAGGCCCCAGTGCTGTATCATAAAATGACACACTGTTAGATCTGGAAGATGAAACTATGAGTAAATCATCATTCATTTTTATGATGATGATACTCCCAACTGGTGCTGGTTGTAGTTGACCTGTGTATGACCTGCATTGGTTAGTCTCCAGATTTAGACTGTAGCTGGGGCCTCTTGTCAGGTCAGTTGTTGGGGACCCCTGCAGACAGCAGAGCCTGTTAACCTGTAGGGTTGCCTTCAGATAATCCCCCTCCCACTGGATGTTGTCTCAACATTGAATCGGCTCTTGATCAAGCAGTAGCAGTAGTTGCAGGGGGCAGTGTGCAGCTCAATAAGCCCCTCATTCCCTGTGGTTCATGACCTTAATGAGCCTTCTAACAAGAAGTTTGTGAAAAACGTTTTTCGCAAGAGCTATCCATCCATCACAGGAGGTATAAATAAAATGGCACTTTCTTTAAAAGCCTAACATTCATGCTACGAGTTTGCTTTGGTGAGCTCACATCCAGCTACACCATGGATGGCACCGTCTTTCAGAAAGGATGGTCCCGCTGTCCTCCAGCCCCTTAAAGAAACCTTCCTCCCAAACATTATGCTCGTCTTAATCATATCTGAAGCTTGTGGGTAGTTGGTATATTTCCAATAATCTGCAGTCAAAACATTATGGATGGTGTCCAATAGAAACTATTTAGTATCTTAAATTGAAAAAATCTCCTTTTTATATCTAGAGACATGTCCTTGATACTCTCACATACAGAAAACCAGTCTCTGTCTGCAATTGAATGACCCAAATTCCTCTGCCGAGACCATCAGATTTTACACAGTAACAAGGGTATACCATTGAATAAGTCTCCCAAAAGCTCATCCTTTACCAAATATACTTGTGATCCGGCAGAGCAGATCCAGTTTCTGGCTCCGTTCTCATACCAGGAGGATGCTGTTTCTGCTAACATCTTTTTCACTATTTCTCTATGTTGTCAATTGGCATATGTAAGTGTTATTGTGATAAAGTTGCACCACAGATTACCTGTCTTTTCCTCTTTATTCCCTTCTTTATGCCCATGATATCTAGGGATGCATCTTGTGATTATTTTCATCATTGATTCATCTCTCTGTCATTTGACAAACGTGTTAATCACTGTTTCCCACAGCCCAAGAGGACGTCTTTATCAATCAGAAAATCGTGACATTTTTTCTTTAAAACATTACTCAAAACAATGAATAAATTCTCAAAATAGTTGCCGATTCATTTAATAGTTGACAACTAATCAGTTCATTGACTAATTGTTAACGCTCTAATGATATTTTTGTTGGAAAAAGAACAGATTAAGTTACAGTTAAGACCTGATTTAGATTCACTGGTCAGGTTAGTGTAATAGAATCAAATCTCAAACATCAGACAAACCCATAAATTTAGCTCTTTGCTACAGTTTCACTTCCCATCTTTTCTTCCTCAGGAAGTGATAAGAGCTTTTGATGTTGTCTCTGTTTTTTAGGACAGAAAGAATGGAACTGATTCCAAGTCACCTTTTTTTTTTTTGCCAACGCAAGCTTGTGAATGGTTGCTCTATTAGGGAATGAAGCCACTCTGCACTGCTGTTTCCTGTTCATTGTAATTAATTTCCTTTTCCCCCTTCCAGTCCTGGCTGCTGTTGCTGGCCAGGAGCCTGACCACAGCCACGGCTGCGCCCATGGCAGCTGTTACCCGGCAACAGGGGACTTGCTGGTTGGACGAGAGAAGAACCTGAAGGCCTCGTCCACATGCGGGATGAGAAAAAAAGAGCCCTACTGCATTGTCAGTCATCTGCAGGTCAGTGTCTGTGTGGTTAATTTTTGTCTGTCCTTCCTATCTGTGGTTGTGGGTTTCTCATTGACTTCTGAAGTCTCTCACCAATAACCATATAACCTTTTTTTGTCCTGCTGCAGGATGAAAAGAAGTGTTTCGACTGTGACTCTAGACGGCCGTATGACCCAGTGTATAACACCATCAATCACCGGATAGAGAATGTTATCACCACCTTCAAACCTCACCGCAAGAAGTCCTGGTGGCAGTCTGAGAATGGTGAGGAGACTTTGTAGTCACTTTTGTTGTGCATTGACACGCTATCTCAGTGCACAGTTTGTTAAAATAACTAAAATAAATATTTATTCCAACTATTAAAGTTATAACTATTAAAATAATATTCACTGACTATCTTGTCCACATCCATCTGTACCTGGTGATCAGCCTATTAGCTTACCTGTCTCCCACTGTACTCACTGTGATCCCAGTCAACCCCAGTTTAACAACAAACAATAGCAACATCCTTTATAAAAAGTTTATAAACTGTAAATAAAAGCTTGATTAATTGTTAATAAAACATTTACTAATACTTTATGGATTAGGGATAATCTATAAAGTGCAATTGTACAAAGCAAGTGAAAAGTGATTTTTGTTCAATTTTGCACAACCTAGCAAGCCAAAAGTTTTATTTAATGGCTCATAATTGATCCATAAGTCAATAGTAAATTATCAATTAACATTATTAAAGTAATTACTTACAACGTTTAATAACTATGCAGCGAGCATCACATTTAAATGAAAGGGCATTCAGTCAAGGAAGAATTGGGTTTTGCCCCATTACTTGGGTACAGTATGTTGCAGTGACAATGATACTGTCTTTTGCCCTTTGTAAACATAATTCTCCATTACATTTTTGTTTAGAAAGAATGGGTTTCTGAAAATGATAAAATGTATTTAGTTTAATGCTTCTATGAGACTTGACTTAGAGATAGAGATGGATGTTCTGCAAGTCTGCTAATGCACCAACCACACAGGTATTGGATTAGATTCAACTTTACTGTCATTGCACACAGGAAATAGCAGTACAACAACATACAGTTTGGCATATAGTGCATATAGAGATATATAAAGATAAACTAATGTACAGAATGAATAGTAGACCAATGGGATAGTGATAGGGTGAGGGGATGTCACTGTGATAAAAGCATTAACTTTAAATAAGATACTGTTCATACTGTTTGTTCTGCACTCAGCCCTGTGTAAGTTGGTTATGTAACAAACTTGATATGGTCTCTGCTTACAGGTGCTGGTATATAGTTAAAGCTATTACTATTTGAGAGAAGAATGGATGAATGGATAGAAGGGAGAAGATGAAGGGTTATAAAAAGACAAGCCAGTGGATGATATCTCAGTGCAGAAATTATTCAATTGGAAAGAAGGGAAACATTGTAAAAATAACAAGATCCTACAAATGTAGTGAATGCACAAGCAGTAAGCAACTGGTAGCTATAGAGAACAGTAAAAGCAGTATTAAGTTTGCACACACACACACACACACACACATACTCGCACACTGTGGCCAATATCCTCTGACCAGCTACAGATGGGCTTAATAACAGAGTAGGCACTGCTCTGGCATCTCAACAGAGAGACAGAAGTGGGGATGACAGGGAAAGGAGAAAAGTAAAAGCTCTGATGGAAAGATAAAAGTGAGGCAGTATTCAAGACTCAGTGGGACAAGGAGAAGGACCAGTTTGAAATGATGTATTTCACAAACAGTGACAATGAGTGACTGTAATGCTGAGTGCAGAGCAGCCTGTTGGACACAAGGCTCATTTTAGCTGTTTGTGAGCCATGTTACTGTAATGGAGGGCTGTTGATGACAGCACTGTGCAGCAGCACCAGACCCAGAATAGAACAGGGAGAAACAGAAGAAGAAGAAGGGGGACAGGAAGTGGAATGACTATTTTTACTCCTGGCTGCTACTGCTTTTCCATGGCATCTTTGTGGCATTTCCACGGTGGTGGTGGCACAGGGCGCCTATTTGATATGGATCACAGTGGTTTGATTGTGTGCACTGTTTAATTGGAAAGGCAGATTCATGAGATTGCATGCATACATTCTTGCATTATAAGGCCCTGTAAGTGAATGTTAGCTAAACAGGTGCTTTCTGTGTGTGTTGGTTGTGTGTGTCTTTTGTATTACATTACCTTACAGTGTAGTATGTATGAACAAACTTCTCTATCAGCAAGGCTCAGTTCTCTCTCCATCTCCCTCTCTCCCCTCTGCTCTAGCTGGGTCACACCCTTCCTCCTCTTTCTTTTCCATCCTTTTTCCTTCCTGTGCTGAGATGATGATTTGTTGGTGATTATGGAAGTGTTTGTACCTAATGGTGGTATGTTTTTGTTGTTCTAGGAGGTTGATCCATTAACTGTTAGCTAAACCATTTAAAGAAACAAACTTGCTACAAAAATTACCTGTTTACCTAGACTCTTGGGTTCAATGCTTGCCCTTTAACGGCTCTATTTCTTAGTTATGGGCTACTGTAAATTATTGGCTACCAAAAGCACAGGGCTAGAATAACCACTTATTAAACCTGCCTGTGTGTGTTTAACTGGAGATTCACTGTTGAAAATGCCTGGGATTAGTTTCCTCTCAACACTCACAGCACAAAACTTGTTTACCTTTTGATGGACTAGTTCACAATGTCCCAACCAGGGGCTCCTAACCCCCAAAAGGAGTCATGGGGTCACAAAGAAAACTAAATTAAATTGCTATTTTAAAAGTTTAGTTGAAGACCTAAACACAAGCTATATTTACATAGTATTCACTCTCTGCTAATCAGTCTCATCTTGCAGTACAGGGAGAAGAAAACACTGAAGTTGTCAGTTGTTCTCTACTGTTATTGTTGCATTGAATATAATATGAAATATCCATAAAATATCTCACTTAGTCAGGGTTGTCAGTTTACTCAGTAATAGAAAAAGGGTCTCTTAAGGAAAAAGGTTGGGAACAACTGGATCATTTTTAGGGATAACAAAGTTATAGTAAACTAAGCACTGTGCTGACAGTCATGATATCTCACATTTTAAGTCATACACCGATCAGCTTGAACATTGTTAGCACTGACGGGTGAAGTGAACGGTGAGTGATTATCATGGCTCCTGTGAGTGGGTTGGATATATCAGGCAGCAAGTGAAAATTTTGTCCTCAAAGTTGATGTGTTAGAAGCAGGAAAAATGGGCAGCGTGAGGATCTGAGCGACTTTGACAATGGC